TTCATTTTACTGTGTGAAAGACAGATATCATTATACTCAACTTGAGGCACTCTTTAAAGCCATCAGAGCTGCTCTCAGACGCAGTGTAGGCAGATCTGACCTCAGCTGTCAGTCAGACCAAAGTGCGTCACCAGTTTTGTAGTTTGTCAATCGTGTTCAAGACACGGTTAGGACAAAGATACAAGAATAAAATCAGCTTCAGCAGAAGTAAGAGCTGAGATAACTACAAGTGGGAGCAGCTGTCATCAGCTGTCTCATGAGCAAAGAAAGCATTTTTCCATTTTGTTCAATCTTTAGGTTACGTCTGGAGGAAAGATCTAAAGTCTCATTTGCATTTCTAGACTAAACAGCAGTTTTGTCTGCTTATACAAATTTCTTCAAGTCAGAGAATGGTGCATATAATTTAATTTTTGCTTGATAATTAAAATTAAAAGATTAAAACTGATAAAACAAGTTTTAAAAAAGGAGACTTTTCCATTTGATTACATTTTGTATGATGGATTGTGCAGAAAAAGTAGAACTGGGCTGAAAGATCTATTGCTTTATCACCTATTCAGGTTGTAAATCGTGTTTTTAAAAAGTAACTAAGTAATTAATTACTTTTGAAAATAAGTAATCAGTGAAGTAACGGGATTACTTTTTTGGGGAAGTAATCAGTAATTAGTTACTGATTACTTTTTTCAAGTAACTTGACCAACACTGCTGATTAGTACTGTATGTGCCACAGTGGTTGTGAAACACTGCTGTAAATGGTATTTATTAAAGTGAAAGGCAACAATATGACTCAGAGCCAGCTGTTACACCTGAACTGTGCTGAAAGTTTCTTCCTGTGAAAAGGGAGCCTTTCCTTCCCACTGTCACCAAGTGCTCATTGTGGAGTTCTTCTCTGTATCATTGTAGGGTTTACCTTACAATATAAAGCACCTTAAGGTGACTGTTGTTGTGATTTGATACTTAAGTTCGAAATGTAAAAATAACAACAAAAACCAACACAAAACTATATACATACATTAAAACTGAATTTAACTATTTATACATTTAATTATTTCTCTTTCTTCATTTCTGTTTCTTTCTTTTTTTATCACTGATGACAACTGTCCAAATGTTACAGCACCCTGGAGTTACCATAAAAATGTTTGCTGCCTTAAAAATGTGTTGATCTGGCCACACACCAGGCAGGAAACATAACATGATTTTGTGTTTGCAGGTTGTCAACATTTATATTCAAAGAAAGGTCACACTTCTTGTATCCACAGCCATAAAGCCGGATTCTACAAAAAAGGCTTTTGTGATGCAATTTGGCAGTTAAGGTAAGTTCCTCTCTGCAGGAAGGAGGTTTTGGGACCATGTAGTCTAAATTGAAGCTACAAAATAAGCCTAATTTACATTCAAATGTGGACATCAAAGCACTGCTGAGCACTATAGCTCTGTATATTCACAGCAGAGGATGATTTGCGCACGGGGAGGAAAAGGGCCTCCATTTACTGCTGTTTGCTTTGGCTTTTAAAGCAGCCGACAATCAGCCGTTCCAGGAAAGAAACACACCAAGCACCATAACAGATCTGGCAGAGTTGCGCTTTTAATAGACTTTATGACCGTGATTTATCCTGCTGTGTCCTGTGCAATCAACATCACACCTGAACACCCATTACTCTGACTGAATGACAAGATGATAGAGTAATATCACAGGTGTGTTTCTTTTTCTGGCCATAAAGCCCCAGACATCACCGTGCCCTGACAAACACAGCACAGAAGGAAATGTTATGTATTTGCCATCCATAGATGATTATTTCGGTCTTTGTTTCCCTCCTGCATCTAGAATTGCAAACTGATGACTTGCGCTGTTTGTAGACTCCAGTAATGAGGCTGTTTGCGTCTTTGTAGTAGGAAAGAAAACAGAAGCAGAGGTTCTTTTCAGGTTGCATAAACCCAAGCAGCAAGATGGAATGAAGGCTAATTCTGTTGGTTATTTTTAACCAACAGACCATTAACCGAGTGGCATCTCCTGGTGGGAGTCTATTGCTGTCATACACAATATAATTCCAATGTTTAAAACCCAACTAGGAGCAGACGGCAAAGGGCCAACAGACTTCATCCCGAGTATGATTACGATGTTAAAGGTGGTTAAGTTCAAAATGTAAAAATATATCATCCCAGAACAAAAACCAACACAAAACTACTGTGTTCTTTAGAAACAGCTTTATTAAAAGAAAGTATCTTTTCTCTCTAGGTTAAGTTGGAAATAAAGACTTTACATGTCAACTGTTCTTTCTGTTGAAAGTCACCATCAAATCCACACCAAGTATGGCTGTCAATCACTGTCACAGTTTTGGGGCATAAAAGGTGAAACAAAGTAAAATGTAAAACTTTTACTAAACAGAGACTCAAACAGACACCAGCCGTCCTGCCTTAGGACAGTAATTTTATTGAATTAGCTGAAATGCAAAATATGTCACTGCTGAGTTCTGCAAGTCAAAAGAAAAAGAAAACAGACTCAGTGCTATAGGTTTGACACTAAACAGATGCCAAACACCAGGGGTGAGCGTAAGCAACCCTCGTGCAGCACATGCTCCATTAGTCACAGTCTGTTCAAAAAGAAAAAACTGGAATGTGTATCGTCACCGATGTGCCTGAACTACAGGCAGATACCACCAAAAACAAAGAATGAGATGCTGTTTTGTGCTGCTTTCTCTCCACGCTGCCACGAGCGAGTAGGGACAGTTGATCATAAATATCTCTTGAAAAATTAGGCTGAAGCAACAATCATTTTTCTATTACACAAGAATCTTGCCAAAGGCATGGCTTTCTCCAAGGTCCTTATGTCACGCTATTGTTTTTTGTTTGTTTTTTTGTTTGTCAGAATTGTCACCCCCAATACCATGTAAGTGATAACACAGCCTCATTAGTTTAAAAAAAAAAATCACAAATGTGACCACAGCACACAGGAATGTCCTGCAAATTCATAAAAACACCATTTAACACCAGTCAGTGTGGGTGGTATATAACAGCAGAGCAATGTTTAATGGGCAGCAACAAGCTAATGCTGATTCCCATTAGATAACTAATACCCCCAGTAATGAAAGATTAAAATGTTTTCACCGCTGAGTCGATGTATCCATAGATTTTGTGGTAAATTCTCAATTTGCTTGTTTGTCTAAAAGTATGGTATTTATATGTTGTTGTTGTTTTTTTAAAGGGCTGTCTCTCAAGCCTGGGCTATTTGACTTTTTTGAATGGGTTCATGCGAATATCGCTACAATAGTGCACTAATTACTCGGATGGCAAAATTAAAAATAAAAAATACAATTGTGTGAACTCTTCACACTCTATCATGGGGTGCCATCTAAGACAGTAGAAAGCAAGGGACTGTCAAAAAACGTATGGTGCATTGTCAGTGGTGGACAACTCCAGGCCTTGAGGGCCGGTATCCTGCAGGTTTTAGATATCACCCTGGGTCAACACACCTGAATCACCCGATTAGTTCATTACCAGGCCTCCAGAGAACTTCAAGACCTGTTGAGGAGGTAATTTAGCCATTTGAATCAGCTGTGTTGGATCAAGGACACATCTAGAGAATGCCAATGGTAGCTAGCAACCTAGCTAATTGTAGCATTTTTCTTTAATGTTAGTTATATCTTGTAGAGTCTTCTTCTTTGTAGGATGAACTATTTTAATGTTCTCTTTTGAATCTAAGAGGAGTTGAAAATGTTAGCCAAATACAGCAGCTAGCTTGACTACTACAGTCGGCTAATGTGGTTATTGTGTATGCTAATCCTGCAACAGTACTACAAGAATGTGTACTAGCGTCTGGAAAGAAACTACAATAGTAACTAACTTTGCTTTTTATACCACTTACAGTTAAATGAATAGCTCACATTTTGGGAAATATCTTAAGAGTTAAAGATGTCATGTATCCCAGACAGCTTAGTGTTCCCCCAACCCCCGAAAACACAGATAAAATCTATTGTTTTAATGAAACACAACATCTTCATTTCTTAATAAGTGACCTTTATTTTCATTACTGATAACCTGACAATTATTTTCATGACTAATCGATCAGCAGTTTTTTCAACATAATATCAACACAGAAAAATGGCTGTCAAAAGACTGAGGTATTTTTTTTTCCTTTTGCCTTACTACAGTTGACCAAATATTTACCATCATACATGAGAAAGAAAGAGTAAAATCTTCACACTGGGAAAGCAAAAACTGGCAAAGGTTTTGCATTTTTGCATAAAAAGGAGAATAAAACAAATATTTTATTATCAAATTATTTGTCACTTAGCCATCCCCACTTAGCCAGCTACAGGTGGTCACCTCTCGACAAGAAATATTTCCCAAAATATCAGACTAGTCCATCAAATCACAGAATGCTGAGCTACAAATGAAATCAGATTAAAAACCCAAACTAGATAAGGGAATTCAGATTTTGTTTCTTTTGTCAATTGGTGATTGGCTCCAGTGGGAGATAAGTAAAAGGAAGGTATCCATTCTAACAAAAAGATCAACAATTAAGGTAGCAGATGAAGGAAATGTGAGCCATATTAAAAACAAAGTTGGGATCACTTCATGGTTATAGAGCACAAAAGACTCAATAGTTGATCTCATTGTCGCAAATGTACCAAATGTACAAACACAACGAAGAGGAAGAAACAAGCTGTGGAAACACATTCATATGTCTAGATCTGCTGGTTGCATTCATAACACAAAGAAACTGTCAAAGAGGCCAAAAATAAAAATAAAAGTGGAAGTCAAGAGTAAAATATTTAGCTGCAGGCCTTAGTAAAACTATCTCAAACTCTTTGGCATGTACAATCAGCAAAATTTACATGTTATGATTTCACTCATTTGTTTCTCAACAATATAAAAATCGAAATAGAAAAACAAAATGTATCAAATTTCACATGTCCTACAGATTTTTTATGTTACAATAAAATGTTAACATCAAAGGGTTTTTTTTGTTGCATTTTGTTATTTTTGCCAAAAAGGTTACACATCAATGCTACAAAAATCTAAGTCTTTATTTTTGTCTTGATTTTTGTACAACACATCCTTTCTGTACAGGATAATCTTTTTTTGTCTTCTTTATTTTCTATTACAACACTCATACATCCTAATTACACACAGATCCCAAGCAGAAAAATAATTGTTTAGGTACCATTTTTATGGGAGACTGGGGTTTTATTTTTATTGTCTTTGAGCCCCTTAATTTCATCATCACATAAAGTCATTTAGCTCTGCCTCCAAGGCGGCGGCCATCTCATCTTCCTCCGAGTTACTGCCTTCTTCTTCCTCGTTAGAGTCTTTGGAAGATTCATCGACAAATTTCTCCTCTTCTTTCTTGTCTTCTGTGTTGTTGCTGTCGACATTGTCTTCCTCCTTATCTTCCTCGTGCTTACGTTTCTGGCCCCTAAAGAAATGACACAGGATTATTTATGAGAACTTATAAAGCCTGATATTTATGAGATCCTGAGGAATATTTTCAGTTCGCACTATTAAAACATTCAATAAGATTTAAAGGTGCTTAATTTTGTTAAGTTTGTCAGAACAATGCTAGCATTTTACCTATTTCCTGCCTTTGTGCTAGGCTAGTTAGCTGTGGCTTCATACTTTGCAAAAACACATGAAAGCGATGTCACTTAGCAAAAAAAAGAGCATTTAATTAAAAAAAACAACAACTTTGAAACATCATGAACGGAAAAAGTGCCTGCTTTTAAATTCTTAGCCAACTATCCAAATAATCTTTAGTTTCAGTCCTATTTTGAATATAGTAATCTCTTCCAAGATGAAAATGACAGCTGGATAAACAGATTTAATCTCTTTCAACATGTTCAAAACATGAAAGAATGACATTCTCCCATCTATTAAACTGCTAGGACCTTCTCAGTCCCCATATCGCACCTATTCCCCTCTACAGCAGATTATGGACTAATTTCTTGGACATCATGAATAACCATCACCCTAGCTTACATTAATCTGCATATCTTCATACCAAAATGAGCCTAATGAGTATGTGCAGATTAATGTATCAATTAATAAATGTCACATTTGCTACTATAGGTAGTCCACCCCATGACAAATGCTATGATTTGCTCGTGATACCAGTCCTCATTTAGCCCGATAATCTGTTTTTAGTCTACAAATCTCACACCCATCACTAGACAGTTGTTAAATTCATATATCTTATGCACAGCCTTCTCAATAGAAACTAAAACATACAGTGAATCCACCTTAAATGTTCTATACTGATGGTATATTTGAAGCATCTGTGTAGGTATTGTTGAAGCTGGAGGAAAGCACACATAGCTGAAGAATTCTTTGATATTACTGTGAACATGCCATCCCTCTTTTCACTCCACTCCAGTTTCTCCATGGCATCCTCAGTAGAATGGCTTATTAGCATGATGCTAATGAGGTGTGTAGGTGTTTTGTATGGTCATTGAGAAGGTCTGACACCGGCTCTGACAAGAGGACCCATCTCATTAGACCGCACTGTGTCAGACAGCCTCGCTAGCCTCCCACGGCAGTGGGGATCTGCCTTTGTGTTCATTAAAGGTCAGATGTCGGCTTACATCTGTGGAGAGGTTTCGTGACATGACGGTTTACAGCGGACCCCTGCAGACGGTGTCTGTGAGCAAAAGGGCTGCGCTTGTGTTACAACAAACAAGCTCAGAACCCCTGAACTAACAAGAAGTTTAATCTCCAGAGCCAGAAGTTGGAACCTCAGCGGTGAGAGGGTAATGTGAGGCTGAGCTGTGAGGGCAAGAGTGGATATGAGGAACTAATTATTATTTATCTGGAGACAACGGAGAAGAAAAGCCAATCCATCAATGTACTGTATCACGCTGCCTGAGCACGCCCATCACGCTATATGGGCCCGTTTATCAGGATGTGTGTATCACATGAATATTTCCATACCCACATCCACACCGAAGAATGGTGATTCTTTCCAAATATTAACAATGGGGACAGCAGGGGGCGGGAGGGGAATGGCTTCCCCCATTGCTTTCTGCTCTGCATCATTACATCCAATCTAAATCCTCAGCTATTAATCCAACCACCCACAGACACACACGCTACTTACTCCCACGAAACTCATTCAAGTCACCTCCCAAGCAGGCTTCAGCAGCTATCCATTTTAAAAAATCTTTTTCACCTTCTGTTAAATGACATGGCTACAAAGGGAGAAGCTGCCGTTCACTAGTTTATTTACTAGTTAGTAACAGGCTGCAGAATAAGCCATCTACAGCTTCTTTCTTTCATTTAGATATTAAACGGTCATAGCTGAGGGTGTACAGTCCTGGTGCATGTACACCCTCTCTCTGCTCTGGATCAGGATGTAATAGAAATAAGCTAGTCCTTATTAGATATCAGCAACAACCTCAAAGAAGCTGCTGCCTGCTATGCATAGGTTATATGACCATTTCCAAACAAATCCACAGTTAAAGATTATTCACGCATATAAAACGTTCAAGACATTTGCCAGTTTTCCCAGGAGTGGACGTCCCAGCAAGTTTCTCCCCCACAGTCAGATCATTCAAAGCATGGGAAGCGCTACTAAACGACACCTGTGGTGAGGGGTGCTAGTGTCAGCGGAGCAGTCAAAAAACGGCAACATAGAGTTCATTTTTATTGGGTTCACTGGTCTGATTAAAGTTTTGTAGGAGAGGACAGCAAAAAATGAAAAAGTTCAGAAGCAGTAGGTAGTCTTCTACCCAACAGACTGTATATAAAAAGTCAAGACACCATAACAATGGCTGATCTCGATTTTAAAGCCTTAAGCACTTAGACCATGACCATCTTATTGTTTGAAAACAGGTATGTTGAGCCAGGAGAGAATCTGAAGATGAAATAGAAGAAACTGAACAGATGAAATGAGCAAATGAGACTGCAGAGTCATCAGCAAAGAGTTCATAGAGCAGAGGAGCCAAAGGTCATTCACCTGTAGACTCTTTACAATGAAACTTCTTTTTGCAAATACAAAATTTGCCCCCTATTGGCCATCATACAGAATGCAGGTTTAAGGCCCCAACCTCTAGGTTCACTGGGTTTCACTTTTATTCAGTTAGCACATTCACCAAGAGACATGCATGCTGTGGACTTTGTGCACAACTGGGGGTTTGTATATATGGATACTGAGCAACATGGACATAAATATTTATTATTAGCCTTCAAGCGGGAGTAGAAATTGATTTATAAATAAAGTATAGGGTTGTGAACAAAACAGACTCTTTTTATTTTTGTTTTGATGGCTATACAAGATGACCAAACTGAAAAACCCCAACCCCCAAACAACAACAAAAAAAAACAAAAACACGAGGGATTAAAGCTGGAAGTGTTCACAATCTGCATATCATATTATTTTTAATAAGAAATGTCTAAATTACTTGCAGCTGCCAGTGCTACGCCTCGGTCTCCTAGTAGATATACCTATGGTATGAATTTGAAAATCCTACCTGACAATTTTGTTTAGTTATTGCATTCACAAGACTTTTAAAACACTTGATCTCTGATCTTGGAGTCAAAGTCACTGGGATTTAAACTTGTGTGAGATTTTTAATAGCAGATACATGTGTGCCATGAATGTGACAATCTTGCATCACCTTGCTGGAAAGTTACTGTATTCACAAACTTGGGTATCTATGCTGCCAGGGGGTGATGACAGTACCCTATCAGTCTTTTTGAATGATAAAACTATACAGAAGCTCAAAAATATGATGGATTTATGATCTAATCCAGCTTGCTTCATGTAACACTCACAGAGTTTAGACACATTCGTTACATGGAGTACTATAAAGCTATCATTACTAACTCACGTATGCAAAGCCCTGAGGGGTTTTGGTGAATGTGCTCCTCAGACTCTCAGTAAAGTCCAATATTTCACTCTCTCTTAAATGAATACAGTTCCATCGTTTTAAATGGCTCCACAGGAAACCCTAGAGCTGAGTCAGATACTAAAGGGGAGGAAACAAACCAAATGGGGACAGATGAAAGTGAAAAAGGCAGCCTGCTCCCTAGACAAAATAAAAAGATAAGACTGCTCGGTAATATAAAGCTTCCTCATTATTTTCAGTTGTATAACTGATACAGTGCAAGTGTTGAGATAATAGGATCTCTTAATGCACTTCTTTCATTTAAATTTCCTCATTACTGGATCTCTTATTGGCTAGTAAATTTGACGCTGTAGCTGTGAAGGCCAATCTGCCATAAAAACTTCAGGAGGAAGTTGCTAACAATGTACTTTAAAGTGTTAGCGAGGCACTTTTGACTTCTTTTTCAGCATGAGAGGATTTACCACTGTACACAAATGCTGGCTTGTCAAATAGCTGCAAATTATCAACAGCTAAATGAATTGGGCCCTAAGCCCAGAGAGTGTGCTTGAAATCAAACTGCTGTTGATAGCACAAGAAGTAGAATGGGGCTGACCTTCCAGGTGGTAATCCGCAGGCACAGTTCCTGCTAGTTATGAAAAAGAACTCAATTTTGTGTATCTAGCACCAGCTCACAACAACAGTCAGGGTGCTTTAGATCAGCGGTCCCCAACCCATGGACCGGTACCGGTCCGTGAGTCGTTTGGTACCGGGCCGCGAGAGTTGAGGCTTGGGTGTATGGTTTTCAGCGGTATTTTTGATCGTTTTTATTGTTAACTCAGTTTCCCTGGGTCTTTTCCCTTGTGTTATGAATAAATCTTCCTTTTTTGGTACCGGTACTGGTTTGATTTTAGTTGTATTTATTCGCACCTTAAAGGCCAGTCTGTGAAAATAGTGTCGGTCCATGGCGCAAAAGGTTGGGGACCGCTACTTTAGATGTTAAGGTAGAAACCCAACAACACTGGAGCATTTGGCAATTTGGGACAATGAACTCCCTTTAAAGCCAAAGCACCAGACTCAGGCAGGAACAGTCATCAGTTGTGACTGGCTGGTGGAACAAGAAGAAAGAGCCAATAAAAAAAACAGAACACAAGGAAACCATGGAAACCAGAGCAAAACACCACGTCCACTAGCACCTGATCCAGCTGTAACTAAGTTTTACCAAAAAGGACAATTTGAAGCCTAGTCTTAGAGGATGTCCGAGTCCTGAACCCCAACAGAAGCTTATTCCCCAGGAGAGAGTAAATAAAGTCAAACGCAATTCTGAAGCCAATGAAGAGAAGCCAGTTGGGCTGGTATTACCCAAATGATAAAAGGCATTGCTAAAGATTTATTATATTATATTATATAAGAGGATTAAAGATATATCCCAGTAAAAACCAATGTAAAAAAGCATGTGGTTATACAATGTGTTTCTGAGAACTATGCAACTGTTTGGAATTCTCACATTCATGCCTTACAGGTGGTTTTGGAAATTAAAATGATATTGTGTTCCTCAAAAAAATACCAGAAACGTCAGTTATGAGGGTGCAAAAGGCGA